TTATGATAATTTATTGTTTCAAACATTTAAATAATAGCATATTGGGTCGAAAGCTTAATAAATATAAACCTTTTTTAATCCTTTAAAAATTTTTAACAAAGTATAACGAAAGAAATGTTCGAATTATTTTTCACTAAAAAGAAAAAATCATTTTTCTAATATAATAATGCATTTCAGATTGAATAATGTTAGATTAAGACTTATGTCAAAAATTTGAGTGCTTATCTTTGTGTTAAAATTTCAAGTTATGAAAAATACTCATTTATTCTGAAAATTTAAAACCGCTTAAATTTAGAATTGTTTACCTAATCATCATCAGAAAGACTGATGATTTTGAGATAAAAACTTGAGAGATATTCGAAGAACACCTGGTAACAATATGTTTATTTCTAATTTATTTTGTATCAGCCTGTTATAAAAATTGAAGCTAGTTTTCTTCTATGAATATTCATCATAATTACGATAACTTTGACAACACTAATAAGCAAACGGCAAAAATGGTAATAAAATAATAATAATAATAATAATAATAATAATAATAGTAATAATAATGGTAATAATAGTAATAAATAATGATAATAATAATAAATAATGATAATGATAATAAATAATGATAATAATAGTAATAAATAATGATAATAAAATAATAATTATAAAGCAATAATAATAATGTGTTTGCCAACTTATAACATCTAATTTAAAATTGCAAAATATCAAATTAAGCATTACAATAGTGATAAATAGAAATTAGTGGTAATAGTAAAAACAAAAATAACTAATAAATATGAAAAGTTAAAAAATTGAGAAGTATTCGCAGTTGGATATTTTTCATTTCTCACTGATTTTTCGCATATTTAAAATATATCTCAGTTAAAAAAATGTATTCGAAAAGAGTTGGAAGAGTCTGAAGAATAAAGAATATTTCAGTTATTCTCAACTATAATTTAAAATGATAGCCAATCAAATTCTAACTTATAGATAATTCACGATTAAACATATTCTTAGTGGTAATTGACACTGAACAAATTTCTCCGTTGAAAATTTATTTCCTACCAAATATATAATTACAATATGGGGTGAGAAATTTGTCCTTATGATCATGATATTTAATAAAAATGAATGAAAACTTATCCATTCTGTAATTAGCAAAAATATTTCTTTCAGCCTGCAAGTTTTTTTATTGACAATTATATTTTTGTAATATTAGTGATTTAATTTATGATTTATGGAAGGACTTTCATAGATTTTCTGATTTTTATGATTTTATATAAAGCAATCTAGCATGAAATTAACGCTAACTGTTTAGTAGCTAAGTTTATACATGAGTTTGCTATGTTAAATTGTTCTTTTATTTAGGAAATGCTGATAATAACATGAGTTTATTTTCAAAAATCTATTTAAAAGCTGATGTAAAATGAAAACCTTACTTATGTACTTGGTAAACAATACAGAATATATGTAATGTGGATTTCAAATAACTATTATTTGAATTATGAATGTGAATTTACCTCAGGAAGCGCCATGAATTTGCGCTTTAGTGGATTTCATCGAAGACAGACCAATAAAAATAGCGAAGTTAACTGTAGTGATATGAAATTATTTTCATAAACCATGAATCATACATCATGGCGATAATGATAATAGTAACAATAATAATTATAATACGCAAATAAATAATATTAACGATGATAATAACAATAAAAGTAATAATAATAATAAAATAAGAAATTGTTAATAATAATAACAATATTATCATTATTATCATGATAAATATTATTATATTATAAGATGTGACGTTTATATTTGATCTTAATGTAGAGTGACGTTTACCTTTGATCTTATGTTGTATTAATAATAATAATAATAATAATAATAATAACATCATCATTAAAAGCAAACATAATACAAATAAAGATAGCAATAATAATGATAAGAAAAAGAAGATTGAAAGGTTCGAAAATCAAGTTCGATCTAAATGAATGTGGTTGCGAACTGTTTTTATCAAATAATCGAATTGATCCTTCACTGATATGGCTGAACTCTAAATAATTCATCCACTTCATAAAAAGCAATGGTAATAAAACAAAACATACGTACCAAAAGTGAGTATTTGCTTAAATTAAGTATAAATCTTATTTAGTCGCTTCTACTGTTATCAGTAATGTAGTAGTCCTCACTCCTTGTAAGTTTGAGTCCACGCACTGAAAATAAGTCTCACTCTCAACGTGCCATAGCCTTTTTCTTAAGATCAAATACAAACGTCACTTTCAATTGTGGGATAAAGATTGAAAAGTACAACAGAAAGTAGACAAAAGACGCAATCAGAAGCAAAATTCATCAAAATAACCATTCGTGCTATCACATTTGACTGTATTGAATTTCAAAGCTAAAATATTAAAGAAGTCAATGAGTTTGAGAAAACAAATTTTTTATTATTTGCATAAAGCATAATGA